CATTGCTTGTATTTTTAAATTCAATCTTATAATCCACATTTTCTTCTAGTGTACTATCATTTATCAAATTATATTCAACATGATGATTAAAATACAATCATTGAGAAATGATTGTATTTAAAAGTTTTCGAAGTTGATCAGTAGATTTTACTTGATTATCAATAGGTGGTGTACCAGATGACGTGAATGAATTCATATTAAAATTTTTATTTTTTTTTCATATCTTCTTCTAACTTATTGAGAAGATGTTCCTTCAAATTTTTAAATGAGGCGATGATGCAGGTTCCATCATTTGTTATTAAACAGGCTATATGTTTCAGTTCATTCAGCTTCTTGCTGTTATATTACAAAATTTCCGTGGGGATCATTACATTCAATAAAAGTACTAGGCATCGCTTATAAGTTGAAGTTTAAGGATTTTTCCCGTGAATAGGTTCACAATGGAGTTCAACAAAATTGTAAAACTACTCGTGTTGTAAATCAAATACATTCATTGGAAGTGTACCAGTGTTTCACACGGATGGAGATTCGGTCATAATAAATAATGTAATATTGAAATTTTGCCTGAGAAACAAAAATTTGTTATCGTCTCAAAGATGGTCAGATGAAAATAATCGATCTAAAGAACGACAACAGGAAAAAAAAAATAATATAAATTTCGGATCGCTTCATTTCAGTGTAGATACACAAGTTGGATAGAATTTTCTCTTTGTCTGTTTTTTTTATTCTACGTAGTCTAGTTATATAAGAATGAAAAAGCATTCAGTCGTTAGAATATTTTTTATTGTGAATTGTATCACATGTTTTCTATATATTAGTAGAACAGAGAGAAATATATTCTACGCTATAAGATATAAAGAAAATATTCAATGACTGTGTGCCAGTATGAATTTTTTGATTTTAATTAAATAATTAAAAAAAAAACCATAAATAGTGATTGAACAAAAATATCAAGTTCGAATATATCTTTCGACTGTAAGAATTTTTTAAAGCCACCAATTCAAAATGTTTTATGCTGAGTTACAATGAGTTTAAGCTGATTTATGTGATTTAAAATGAGGTAAGATGATTTAACTGATTTTATTTTGAGTTTTAGCTGACTTAAATCAGTCGATCCCTCCTTGTTCGTGATCCTTTCAGTAAATTGTAAATATAATCTCTTTTTTCTAGTGTGTGTGGTTACTGCTGCTGCGTGTGTAGTTCATTTAGATTTCTGTTGAGTATCGATGTGTCGGTATCAGTTTGATGAGACGAATTTATGACAAAAATCCTCACACAGACAGGCATACCATCATGCACAATAAGCTTGATACTAGTACCAGCATCCACACATATACTTTTTCAAATGTTGGATAATAGCTTTGTTGAGAGCTGCAAAGAAGTATATAATAGCGAACGAGCCGAATATTTAGTCGAGGATAAAGCGAGTTACACGGATGAATGTTACATGTTTCTCGCATTTACAATTTGATGAGATAATTGCAAATAAAGCAAAACAAGAAATATGTCATAAATATTTCATAGAATAATGTTTGAAAATTCCAGAGACTTTTCATAGATCAGCAAAGTTTATCTTGAGATTATTTCTATTAATGATTTTATCATGAAGAAGATTAACTATGCAAAATAATTCTTGTAATCTTATTTAGTAATTAAAGATTGAACTGATTAACAACATAATTTAATACAAGACATGCTTCCAAGAAAGAGATGATCCGAAACATAACCAAAAACTAGTTTTGATCATTAAATGATTTTTATACATGAATTAGTTGCAAAATCATAGAAGAAAGCCCACATTTCTCATACATCTCTATCATCGAAACAAAAACAAAAAAAAGAGTTAAAAAAATAATCGTTGTTAACAAAGTTGAGAATTTGACTAAAAAGGTTTCTCGTCTTTTAACAAAATTCGACTTCGATGCAAAGAAAATTTCTCTCTCTTATTTTAATAATTTTTCTTGTCTCTATTTTAGATTATCCATTACGTTCTCCATCCAGTACCAACATTCATCCGAATGCTCGATGGCAACAAAATGGTATCACTGTGGCTGGAGGAAATCGACAAGGCAATGGAATCAATCAACTCTCAGCCCCATGTGGTTTGTATGTTGATGATGATCAAACTGTATGTGTTGCTGATACATCGAATCATCGTATTGTGGAATGGAAACGAGGTGCAACAAGTGGCCAAGTGGTTGCTGGTGGAAATGGACAAGGAAGTGGAGATCATCAATTGTATAACCCATATGATGTGATTATCGACAAAGAGAGAGATAGTCTCATCATATGCGATTATTCGAATAGAAGAGTGGTTCGATGGCCTCGTCGAAATGGGAAAAGTGGAGAAACAATCATCTCCAACATCGCTTGTGTGGGTTTGACAATGGACGAGAATGGATCTCTCTATGTCACTGATGTTGAAAGAGATGAAGTGAGACAATATCGAAGAGGAGAATCTCAAGGAACAGTGGTTGCAGGTGGCAATGGAAGTGGAAATCGTCTCGATCAACTCTCTTACCCAACATACGTATTCGTCGATCGAGATCATTCAGTGTACGTATCTGATGAGAGAAATCATCGTGTGATGAAATGGATGGAAGGTGCAAAACAAGGCATTGTCGTGGCTGGTGGTCAAGGATATGGAAATGATCTTGCACAATTGTCATCTCCTCGACGAGTCGTTGTCGATCAATTGGGCACTGTCTATGTGGCTGATTTTGGGAATGATCGAATCATGCGTTGGCCTAAAGGAGCCACACAAGGAAGTGTCATTGTTGGTGGAAACGGTAAAGGAGAACAATCGAACCAACTCCATTGGCCCATCGGTTTGTCATTCGATCGACACGGGAATCTCTATGTCGTCGATTGGGGAAATCATCGAGTTCAGAAATTCGAACTGCAATCAAATCCAAAGTGAACCCTAAAACATAGAAATAACTCTAAAAAATTTTCATAACTGACTATCCCAATTAATTAATTAATTAATGAATTAACATAAATAAAAATTAATTAACACTATATTCTAATTAAAGTAAAACAAATAAATAAAACTAAACCTTAATTAGATGGAACAACACACATTCTATAGTAGGAAACCTCAAACACACATAAAAACGGAAACAACAAAACACCACGGACACCTGGCTGACTTTCCTCAAAACGGAAACCTTGGATTTTCCCCGCCGATTCCAATGACTCCATGAGAGGAAACAAAGTCTGGCATTTCGAATATAGTAGATCATGATGAGTTCTATCAGATTCGAAGGATTCCAAAAGTGTCTGAAGTGGGAAACCATGCAACTCTGGACCTCCTTGAAACCCTTATGGTCTTCATCGGACTTTCACACGATACAAAGGATTGCAAGGATTCCATCATACATAACAAAATCTGGCGTATCCAAAAAGATTAGATCATGATGAATTCTATCAGATTCAAAGGATTCCAAAAGATCGTGAAGTGGGAACCCATGCAACTCTGGACCTCCCTACAATCCCTATAGTCTGCATAGGACTTTCACATGATACCAAAGATTCCAAGGATTCCATGATACAAAACAAAGTTTGGCATTTCGAATATAGTAGATCATGATGAATTCTATCAAATTCGAAAGATTGCAAAAGATCGCGAAGTGGGAACCCATGCAACTGTGGACCTCCTTAAAATCCCTATGGTCTCCATAAGACTTTCACACGATACCAAGGATTCCATGACAGAAAACAAAGTCTGGCATTTCGAATATAGTAGATCATGATGAATTCTATCAGATTGGAAGGATTCCAAAAGATCCCGAATTGGGAACCCATGCACCTCGGGACCTCCTTAAAACCCCTATGGTCGCCATCGGACTTTCACACGATACCAAGGATTCCATGAGAGAAAACAAAGTCTGGCCTTTCGAATTTAGTAGATCATGATGAATTCCATCAGATTCGAAGGATTCTAAAAGATCCCGAAGTCGGAACCCATGCTACTCGGGACCTCCTTAGAACCCCTATGCTCTCCATAGGACATTCACATGATACTAAAGGTTCCAAGTATTCCATGAGAGAAAACAAAGTGTGGTATTTCGAATATAGTAGATCATGATGAATTCTATCAGATTCGAAGGATTCCAAAAGATCCCGAAGTGGGAAAGCATGCAACTGTGGACCTCCTTAAAACCCCCATGGTCTCCATAGAACTTTCACACGATACCAAGGATTCCATGAGAGAAAACAAAGTCTGGCATTTCGAATATAGTAGATCATGATGAATTCCATCAGATTCGAAGGGTTCCGAAAGATCCCGAAGTGGGAACCCATGCAACTTGGGACCTCCTTCAAACCCCTATGGTCTTCATAGGACTTTCACATGGTACCAAGGACTGCAAGGATTCCATGATACGAAACAAAATGTGGCATTTCGCATATTGTAGATCATGATGATTTCTATCAGATTCGAAGGATTCCAAAAGACGGTGAAGTGGGAACCATGTAACTCTGGACCTCCTTAAAACCCGTATCGTCGCGAAATTACTTTCAATGGATACGAATGACTGCAAGGATTCCAGGATACAGAACAATGTCTGGTATTTCAAATATTGTAGATCATGATATATTCTATCAGATTGGAAGGTTTCGAAAAGATGCCGAACTGGGAACAAGTCGCAAACCTCGACCTCCTGAAACCATCTATTGTCACGAAAGGACTGTCAGATGATACCAAGTACTGGAAGGATTCCATGATACAGAACATTGTCTGGTATTTCAAATCTTGCAGATCGTGATATATTCTCGCAGATTCGAAGGATTCCAAAAGATTCCGAAGTTGGAACTCTTGCAACTCTGGGCCTCCTTTAAATCGTGATGGTGACCATAGGACTTTCAGAGGATACCAAGGATTCCAAGGATTCGATGATATAAAACAATACGTGGTATTTCAAATATTGTAGATCATGAGAAATTCTATGAGATTCCATGGATTCTAAAAGATCCTGAAGTGGGAACCCATGCAAATCTGGACCTCCTTGAACCCCATTTTGGCCATTACAGAACTTTCAGAGGATATCGCAGATTCCAAGGATTTCATGATATAAAACAAGTAACGTTCATCGACATTGAATGTCGAGTCACTGGGGCGTAGAGTGAGGAATTATGGCAAGTGTGTCCTTGTATTTTTAAATATAAATGAACTTTGTATAATGATGGGTTTAGGAGAAACTATTAATCTTTGTAGTATATTCTATATTACATACTATAGATATATACAACAGAGATGGGATCGGTTCGGTTTTTAACCGACCTACCGTAACGGAAGTCGATTCGGTTGGAGATTTTGAAAAACTTCGGTCGGTTACGTTCGGGTCGGTTACAGATTTTTTTCGGTTACGGTCATTTCGGTTAGAAATTTTAAAAAATTCGGTCGGTTACAGTTGGTTCGGTTAGAGATCTTTTCGGTTACGGCCGGTTCGGTTTGGCAAAAATGCCAACCAATCCCATCTCTGATATACAAATAATTCAGATAAAATATTGAAGGATGCTAATGTATATGATAGAGTTTATGCTTTAGTTAATTATAACGACTAAAAATTGTGATCTATTCCAAAGTAATGGCCATTTCTAATACGGGCTTGGCCAATTGTGACACAGACATGCTCATTTGAGCCATAAGAATTGTCAACTGTGCCATAAAAACGGTTGATTGTGGCGTGGAAATGCTGATTTAAGCCATAGAAACGGTCATCTGTCTAATGAAAATGGCCAATTGTGTCAAATAAATGGTCGCCTGCACCACCAAAGTGGTACTTTTGTACCATGAAAATGGTCACTTGTACCACGACTATGGTACTTTATACCACGAAAATGGTCACTTGTACCACAAAAATGGTCATTTGTACCAAGTGTTACAGACCGACAGACAGACAAACAGACACAGGTGAATTTCCATTTCTAGACCCTAGCCTTTCAGTCTAGGGAACAATGTCTTGTATTGCGAATATTGTAGATCATGATGAATTCTATCAGATTCCATGGATTCCAAAAGGTTCTGAAGTAGGAGCTCATGGAACTGTGTTCGTCCTTAAAAACTCCATTGTCACCATTGGACTTTCAGAGGTTACCCGAGGATTCTATGATACAAAACAATGTGTGGTATTTCGAATATTGTCGATGATGATGAAGTCTATCAGATTGCAAGAAGTGTAAACGATGCTGAAGTTGAAGCCATGCTAACTTATAGCTGCTTAAAACCCCTATGGTTACTAGAGGGCTTTTTGCGGATAGGAAGAAGTCCACGGGGTCGATGGAATGAAACAATGTCTGACATGCAGAATATTGTAAATTATGATGAATTCTATTAGATTCCAAGGATTGCAAACGATGCTGAAGATGGAAACATTGTAAATTGAGGTATCCTACTAACTTTCTTTGGTGATTATGTAGGTGTTGGAGGATACCACATATTCGAATCGTGTGATGACAGGAAAGAATATGGTGTAAGGAGAATATGATGGGTCATGATGGATTGTATCAGATTGCTGGGAATCCAAAGGAATTCGAAGTGGCAACCTGTTCAAATTGTGATATCCTGGCAGCGACTGTTGTTAGTATAGGTCTTTGATAGCTTATGAAAGATTGTAAGTGATCAAGAAATATATGGTATACAGGGCCTTGTGGTTCATGATGGATTGTATATGATTCCAAGGATGCTAAATGCGCTGGAAGTGTGAAACAGCAAAGAAGAGTATGTTCTGAAAACCTCCGTTATGTACACAATGGTTCTCAGCAGCATCGAAGGTCTCCATGGATTTCATGGCAGTAGAAATGTGTGGGTCTGAGAATGTTGCAGTAAGTTAGGGAATATATCAGTTTGGAAGATGTCGACAACATCAAGACGCGAAACGACATTGAAATTGAGATCGTTCGAATATCCGTCTATAGGGTATGGCAGTATTATAGATATCCAAGGATTCCGAGGATCGGACAGCTTTGAGTATTGGCTTTTATGGAGAATAGTGTTAGATCGTGCACATAGAATGACGATCTAAGACGAAAAAGAAAATAACATCGTCTCTTCTAGTCTAACTGGCTTAGGACATCTGCCCGGATAGCAGAAGGTGTGGGTTCGAGCCCCACAAGGAGCGCATCTTTTTCCTTCTGTCATTGTATCATCGCCTCCTTTCGACCGTGTATGTAACTAATAGTCAAGTTCATTTTGGATTCTATGATATGTCAAGTACTGGAGGCAGAGATGGAAATATTCTTATTTTCTTCGTAGGCTTCTGGCACTTGATAGCCTATGAAGCTTTTTGTGGTCGTATGCCTGTCTTTGATTTTCATTGGCCTGGCTTGCCTGCTTGATGAGGCGTGTCTTTTCTTTTTGTGTACCAATAATTGGATAATAGTTGAGTGGAAGCGGAAAACTGTCTTTGTAAGAAGAGAGAACAGTGTTTTAATATCAAAATAACATGACGAAATAAAACATCTATTTATTCATTGAGGTATATCAGTATTGAATGGAAACAAGACCGAAGCTTTGAACGTTTAGAAAAAGTTGCTTTTCAATATAAATCATCTTACGTAATTTTATGAAGAAGTGGACGATGACTTTTTAGTCGGAACGCATAAGAAACTATAAATATGTAATACTGCGGAAATGCTTGATGTAAAACTTTAGGAACAACCATTTAACAAGTGTGATCCTTAATCTATCGAAACGTATAAACAAACTAAATAAATGAATGGACAATGAACGATTGAATGATAATTTATTGTTACTCATGATTGTGCTTAGTCAAATTGATAGAAAAGTCATTTCTTACATTCCAGAGCAAAAATTCTCGGTATTTTATTTTGAAATTTGCACTTTCTACTCAAGAAATGAAGTTGTTTTTATTGAAAATGCAGAAATCGCACGTCAGGTAGGCCCAATCAGCTGTTTGACTCTCTGATTTCAAAAGATCTCGACCTGGAAGATGAATGAAATCATGTTTTTCCAGAAACTTGTTATAGAGATTATAGAACTATTATCGCACAGCAGCGAACTTAACGATACCCTAAGAAGATACTATATTGGTTTTCAGAATATGGATCCTGATGATGGATTCTATGAGATTCGAAGGATTTCAAAAGATGTCTTACTGGGTAGTCAAGAAAATTGTGTTCTCTAGAAACCCTTTATAGAGAGTATAGGACTTTATTTGCGAGTTCATGGTTTTAAGGATTTCACGACATGAAAAATGTCTGATATCAAGGTTAATATTTTCGACGGTGGACTAGATCAGATTTGAAGAATTGTAGAAGATGTCGAACTCAGAAATCATGCAAATCGAGATATTCATAGGTTTTTGTAGAGATCCTATGATACTCTAGGACAAGGGGGGTAAAGCTCATTGCAATCAAAATAATCATTGTCAATCAACAGTAACTATTAATAATTGTTCAGAATAAAGTGATTTTTATTGAAAACAATAACGCTAATTGTCATTCACTCTACATAATAGTTGTCAGTGAAGGAAGAATTATATCGTTGTATATACTATAAATTCAGGACAGCCATGATGAACAATAGACAGTCGATATGCAGTCTGAGTCGATATTTTTCTTTTTTCTTGTCGTATGTACATGCGTTCGTGTGACACAAGACAGAACGAAAAAAAAACAAATATCTCTTTCTCTTATTGTTATCATTTTATATCCATCTGTTCACATAAACTCACAGACGTACTGTTCATTTCTTAATTCTGCTGTTTTTAATATACCTATTTCGAAATATTGATATATGGATAAAAAGAGTACTTCCTTCAAATAATATGAATCTACGAGATGACGCATTTTATGATTTTATTCGTCAAATTTCTGGAAAGCAAGTGGCAAAGCTGCTTGCCTTTCAAAATTTCAATGGAGTTGACTCATTTATTGGATGTAAAGAATGTACTGATGTAATTCGTCTTGAATCTGATCAATTAAATGATCTTACAAAAAAAAATATACATTACATTACGTGACGGATCCGTTGCTCTTCTACCAGCTCTTGAATCATCGATTAGTAACCTCATCAAACTCGTTAAAAGAGCTCCGAGCACCACTTCGTCCAATCTAGCAACAACAACAGTACCAACATATCATTCAGCAATTCATACACCTTCACCATCAGATATATCAATGTTTGCTAATTCATCTAACCCGTCATCACTTTATATTTCAGCTGCATCTAATCCTCTTATAGATCAGATGTCAAATAGAATTTCAACAACTATTATCGATTGGCTCAAGAAAAACCAAGAAGAACTAAATTTAATGAATACGAATTTTCAACAAGGCATCGATTTTCTTGTTGAATTAAATAAACAACGAGATGGAATTATCTTAGTTGGTGTAAATGTGGCACGAAAAATGCTATTACATAAAAACGAGGAATTCTTAGAGTAAGAGATTGAATAATTTAATCTTTAAATTTTGTGTACTAAAAAAAGATCCTTTGATTTAGTTTTCGAATATTTATCGACATTTCAATTCCGGCAAATGTTCATTGATCATCGGAAAAAAAACAAAATTCAGGCGACGATCACAACACCGATGATGATCAAGAAAAAGAGAGTCAAGCAGAGTTAACTATGACAACTCCATGTCAATCAAATCAAATTCCATTATATCTAAATCTTCAAAAGTTAATAATTGTACTCGTTCTGCTTCAAATGTATCTAAGAGAAAAAGACAGCGATGTAATTAGATATTTGTGTCTCTAATCAGTACTTCTTATTTATTTAGTTTTAATCCTAACTTTTTATTTGCACTGTGAATTAACCTCTATTTGTTTTGACTCATTATTACTCTAGGTGATTATATGGATTATATCTTTTCGACTGTTTTGTTGTTGGTGTATTTATAGACATGCAGACAAATGATTTTCGATTAGATTCTGACCTTCGTTTATAAAAGATAGACATCTCATTTTGATCAAGAAACTATTTTTAATTACTTGACTCGGTTGAATCCATTAGTTGATGTTTCAGATTAATATATTAGAATTGTATTTCTCAAATCTTCAAGTTTACTGTCAAAAGAAATCATTAATGTGTATCTCGTTACAAACTAACATCTTCGAGCTTCAAGATGAATCTTTTTTTCAAGTAGTAAAAGAACAATGTAGTCCAACAATGGTTGAAATCTTACGTTTTCTCGAAGTGAACTCGGCGGATTATCTGTCTTCTTTGTATAGATGATCTATTTGCATTTTTTCATCATGATTCACTCGATCTTCTCTTTCGATAAAAAACAAAGTGGGAATCACTTTAGTCAATGGCAGTTTTATAGTAAAGGAAGGATTTTGATTTCAAGCCAATTCTTTCATTCAAAAATTACGGATGCTTCAACAAAGAAATCTATCCATGTCAAATGATTTGATCATTTCTGCCGCTCTTCTCTATCAACATCCTATGCTTCAACAAGTTATACGTTTTTCTTTGAAAACTATTCGTTGCTATCAAATGATTCTTTCACGGAATTTAAATATACAGTAGTCGAAACAATTATTTCGAATCATGATCATGCCAAGATCCTTTATTCTTACATTGATTCTATACGTGATTTCGCTTCATGTCTGTTCATTCTCGTTGGTCAAAATGTCTATGAGTTTATTCGTCTTAACATTCTCGGTCTACTTCCACGTTTACCGGTCATTGAAGTTTCGCTTAATTCTACCACAAATCGATTTGTAGAAGACGAATTCAGATACAATCTTATTTTTGATCATCTTTCATTACAGAAGACAAATTTCATTTTCACATCTGAAGACTGTATCGCTGTAATTCCTCGAATAATATATAACGTCCAATCGAATACATTTGTTGGCTTCGCGTCTCATTTTGAAGATGGTTTACCACAAATCAATACTTTTTTTGACCGACTCTTGCTGAACTCGAAAACTGGTTTTACACATCAAACAAATCGTATTTTCTCAATCTCCATATGATTCAACCTATTAATTTAACTCTTGCTTCTTCTTCACCATTCATCTTGTCCGCCTACGGCACAGATAATGATTTCACGACTCTAGACATTTTAATGCGATGGATGAGCATTGTCAATCATTGTGATAAAAAGGATGTGAAAGTCGCTTTATGGGATTTTTTGCTGATATGCCAAATCAACAATTTCATCTACGTGATAATGCATTATATATTGATATTCCTAAGGTGATTTGATTAATTTAAGGATTCAATGCTTTTTATTCTACTTCTCTTTCCGTTTTGTAGAGTTGGCATTGGTTTTTATCAGAAACCGTCAACGCCTCGTATTCTACAATTAATCGAATCATTCTCAAAATTGAATCATAATTTGGTTAAGTCAGACATTCTGTGAAATGATAAACAGAATTTCTGATCTTGCAAAAAGATATCAAGTGAAACTGTTCTCGATGAACTCACTTCTATACCAGCATCACAAGCAACTAAGATTTATCTCGAGGTATGCTTTTTTACAACTTTATAGCAACTATTTAAAAACTTCATATATCCTTTTTTATATTGTAGCTAATCCGAAATGTTCGATTTGCTTTTATAAATAAGGAAACACATTATATTGATCGAATTCATTATGCATGGAGAACTGTTTGCATTATTCGGTTTTGATACATTTGGTTAAGCAAAAAAACGAAAAGCGAGCTCGATTCAACTCTTCCTGAATTATTTTCTTTGCATATAGAACGAAAGAAAAATACAAAGCAGTAATACTTTGTTACTTTACCATTAGTCTTTTCTATCGAGATTAATAGTCATACACTCGTCTTGCTCGTTATTCAACACAAATTACCAACAGCATGTTTAAACGTATCTCTATTCAACTCATAAACTCTTGAAAGTACATTTCGATCATGCCGAGCTATGTCAGGATCATTTTCTTCAATTGTAAACTTCACTGTAGATCAGTTTTTGCAGCGAGCGAAAAAATTATCATATCTAAATTCTATTAAATGTCAAACAAGTAGCAACAACAGCAATGATACAAATAAGGGCTTTTTATTTCCACGCCATCATAAACAGTCTAAGACCATCGATTCCAAACAAATATCTTCTTTATCATCATCTTCTACTATAGATCTCACAGTTGAAGCAGTTGCGAATACTATTTTACAAGCGTATTCTTATGCTAGCCATCTTGTATGTGACTTGAATATGTATCAACCACATCAAATTTCATCATTCGAAAAATAACAAAATTGACTAGTATTCAACTGCAAAAATCAAAAATAGTCGATTATTCACATCTTAACGAACACGATCCAGACTTTAACTCAGATTCAGATAAGAGCAGCTGTGAAGGAGTGGATACTACCGAAAATGACGCCGATAATGAAGATTCAATCGATGGGAGCGATGACGAGGATTATCTGTCTCATCATCTTTGCACTGTTAGTTCGACTACTTTTCAAGGAATCCGAGTTTTTGATTCTATTAATCCAACGTTGGCTAAGTCGTACTTTATCGTCAACATTAATGGTACAAAAAAATATTTACATAAACAGACAGCTGCTTGGCTTCTTTCAAATGACAAGTCCACTTTGTCTTCAAATCGTTTAAAACGTGTTATGACTAACAACTAAAAATATATTTCCATTTGAGTTCTTCATATTCGAATCTCATCTTATCTTTTTGAGGTGTTAAATAAACTTTTGGAACGTAATTTTAACGGATACTAGAGATTGAATCTGCTTTTATTTTCCTCACTAAAAATATGACAGCAGTTTATTTCGTTTTTTTTTCATTTGTATATTCAAGTTTTGTATCAAGATTTACATGTAGAGTCACAGTATTTTCCTGTTGTTCAGCCCTAAAAATATTATATTGGTCGAAAAAGAACTCGGACTGATGTTTTCTCGATATAAAAGAAAGTGGATAATCACTGTCAATCAAGTCAATCTCGTAAATCAAAATTCAGCTTTTTCCCCTTGCTCTAGGACCAAATCAATAGTTTCGTCGGTTGATGTACTTGGAACGAGTTCTATCTTTGCAGAGTAGTGAAGAGGAGAGGAAATTATGTGGTATGCCAAGGATTATAAACGACCACGAAGTGCGAAGCCTTTTAAATCGATATTTTGATAAGTCTTGAGAGAGATGCGGTTGAATTCCGCGTCTAACAAGGATTTCAATTATTTCAAGGCATGAAGCAATATCTGATCTGGAGATTATTGAAACAGATTATGTATTTTCTCAGAATTCAAGAGTTTCATGACATCCCGAAGTGATAATCATCGCAAAGCAATATATCCGAAAAACAGTCGTATAAAGCCTATCGGACCTTGGAGATAATGAAGGATTCCAATTTTTACAAGACATTCAACTGTCTTTGATGTTTAGAATGATAAGGTGCGTAGTGTAGTGTATTACAACTGATTACAACTATTGGACAAGATCTCGAAGTTGGAAGTACCGAGTTTCTTATGTTCGGGAAAATGGCTTACAGAGATTCTAAGTAGTCAGAACTAGAGGAGAGATATCAATGGCTTATCTAGGGAATAAGGAATGTCATTGTCGGTTCTATAGGATGATGATGATTTGGAAAGTTCTAGCAGCATGAACTTTTGGAAAGTTAGATAGATGAAAACCTCATCTTGTCCTGTCGGGGTCGATGACAGAATCGACGGCGCGGAGGTTTCTAGGGCATCGAGTTGTGTGTTTTCTTGAGCAAAATTAAGTGCATGTTGCATCAAGTTTGTTTTCAAGGAATGAGCGAGATCAAACATTTAGAAGACTTGGATTTCATGACTCGACGATGATTGTTTTAACGATTCCTCTTAAGCGATTGCAGATTAGTCGTTAGGAAGAGTTGTAAAGTGGAAAGATTGTTTTATTGGCAAAATTTTGATGATAATGTTCCATATTCTTATTTGAGAAGGTTTACTTGAAATTAGATCACGTGAAAGTTGAAAGTTTGTGGAAAAGGTTTATCGTGTTCTGTACATCTTTATACTATGTCTTATTCTGTTGATTTTAAGTTTTCGAAAACTTCAAAAAGTTTTGAATCATCATGATCAATGCATCTTTATCAATGGTGTATGTGTGTTTTTCGGAAGAATCACTTTGAAAGAAGGGTGTGGGTATGGATGTGGGTTTAAAATTTTGCCATTTCAAAAATCATCATGAGATATGATCTTTAAAATGATTAGTTTTCCCGCCGGATTATCATTATATAAGGTAAGTGTGATCATTGGCTTTATCAACAGTTATAACTGTACTTTGACTAGTATTTGTGAATGCTTAAATAAAGATTGTATGTCTTTTTGTACAGGAAGGACGGAAGAAATTCCCGTACCGTTGCCAGTGTACGGTGAAGATTAAAAATATAGAAATACGACTGCAATTGGGATATTCATTCGATTTCTTTGTTTGTTGGTGGTGCCATCGTTGAAGTTGGATTTGATTCAGTTGTTA